AAAAAAAAAAAAAAAAAAAAAAAAAAAAAAGCTTAGGAATCTAGTCTGGGCTCTGGACGATGCCGACTTCCAAATTCCACACCATGGATGCTGGACCGTCTGGACACTCATCCAGATATCCTGATGGTAGCCATGGCAGAGCTAGAAATTACGCAAAGGTCCCAGAGGGCTTAGTGGGTATTTTCTGAGTAAGAGTTTTGTCAGAACTGTATGGCAGTGGCTGCTGGGTCGTTGCAAATTTGTGTAGGATCACTGTGTGAAAGCCAATGTCCTCATTTCTGATTCCCCTTAAAAGACAATACACAGCAGACAGGTACCAGCTTTGGAGCTCATCAGTCTTGTCTTGCCGTATAGGGTTGAACATGAGACTGTAAACTTTGAACTGCAGGGTTTGGGCATCAAGCGAATGAAACGAAATGTCACGGAGTTCTAGTCGTTTACCATGGACTCTGCATTTTCTCAAGAATCTTGTACAGATTCTCTTTAGTCCTAATACTCAAGGCATCTGACCGCCGTCGACTTCTCTCTCTTGAGAATAGGGAGGGAAGGGAGTAGAATTCTCTCCGTTCGTCTCCTTCGCTACGGTGTTCCGCTGAACAGAACACATCCTCGTCATGACTGCAGTCATGACTCCATTCATCTCCTTCGCCACTGTCTTCCCCCGAACACAATACATCCCGTCATTACTGCACTGGGGCGCAGAAGTAGCTTGTATGCATTCATGATGAGGGTGCGTCGTATTTGGGGGAAGATGGTAGGTTGCCATCTGGCTGCCCTCCATGTCTCTGTCTTGGACAGAGAGGGAGAAAAAGACGAGGGTGGCAAGAGGAGAGGGGGAAGGGGGGGAAGGGGGGGAGTAGTGGGACTCCGTCCTCCTTTCATTTTCGCCATCCCTTTACTGTTGGATTGTATTGCAATCAGACTCGTTTTCAAACACACTTTTCACACATGTAAACAGTAACACAGCACACTGGCGACATGCGCCCACTCAAAACTCAGAG